ATCTCCTGACCTCGTGATCCGCCCGTCTCGGCCTCCCAAAGTGCTGGGATTACAGGCTTGAGCCACCGCGCCCGGCCAGCTTTCTCTTTTCTCTAAAATGAGAGGTTCCTGCCAGGCGCCGTGGCTCATCCCTGAAATACTAGCACTTTCGGAGGCCAAGGCAGGAGGATTGCTTGAGGCCAGGAGTTCAAGACCAGTGCTGTCTAAGAATAAAATAAAATAAATAAAATGAAATTAAATGAAATGAAAAAATAAAATAAAATAAAATAAAATAAAATAAAATAAAATAAAATGGGTCTGGCCAGGCACAGTGGCTCACACCTGTAATCCCAGCATTTTGGGAGGCTGAGGTAGGCAGATCACTTGAGCTCAGGGGTTCGAGATCAGCCTGGCCAACATGGCGAAACCCCGTCTCTACTAAAAACACAAAAATTAGCCAGGCGTCGTGGCGGGCAGCTGTAGTCCCAGCTACTTGGGAGGCTGAGGCAGGAGAATTGCTTGAACCCGGGAGGCGGAGGTTGCAGTAAGCCAAGATCCTGTCACTGCACTCCAACCTGGTGGCAGAGCAAAACTAAATCTCAAAAAAAAAAAAAAAAAAAAAAATTAGCCCGGAATTGTGGCACGTGCCTGTAATCCTAGCAGCTACTCAGGAGGCTGAGACATGAGAATCACTTGAACCTGGGAGGCAGAGTGAGCTGAGATCACACCACTGCACTCCAGCCTGGGTCACAGAGTGAGACTTTGTCTCAAAAAAATAGATGGGTCACGCTACCCACAGCAGCGTTTCGCTAATCTCCCAGCACTTCCCTCCTCCAGGACTGTATTATAATTATACTGTGGCCACTTTCTGGAAAGAAAGGAGGACGACCACAAAACCTGGCATTTAAGACGCTTAGAGCTGCAAACTGACTGGCCAGGATGGGCCCCTGGCTTGGAGGCAGGAGTGCTGGATGCCCGCGTCTCTTCTTACAGGCCTAAAGATCCCTCCTGGCTGTGAGCTGGTGGTCGGCGGTGAGCCCCAGTGCTGGGCGGAGGGGCACTGTCTACTGGTGGACGACTCTTTTCTACACACAGTGGCTCACAATGGTAACGGGGTGCCCATTCTGCAGGGGGGATGAGGGACTCAGGAGCAAAGGAGCGTAGACTAGAGGACAGCAGAATCAGGCCCAACGGACTTCCTGTCCTACCACCACCATCTTCCAGCTGCATGACCTTGAACAAGTCACACAACTTCTCCAATGCCCTAGGACCACCACCTTCTTCATCAAGTGACTGCAAGGATTAAATGAGATAATGTTAAGTGCACAGAAAAGTGGTTACCAGCACAGGACTCTGGGTTCCTGTCCTACCTCTTGCACTTGGGCAAAGGACTTAACCTCCTTATGCTTGTTGCTTTGTATAAAATAGGGATAATTATGGTAATACCACAGTTTGTTTTGATTAAGAGTTGATACATATCGGCCGGGCATGGTGGCTAACGCCTGTAATCCCAGCACTTTGGGAGGCAGAAGTGGGCAGATCACCTGAGGTCAGGAGTTCGAGACCAGCCTGGTGAACATGGTGAAACCCCGTCTCTACTAAAAATACAAAAAATTACCAGGGCGTGGTGGTGAACGCCTGAAATCCCAGCTACTAGGGAGACTGAGGCAGGAGAACTGCTTGAACCTGACAGGCAGAGGTTGCAGTGAGCTGAAATCACGCCACTGCACTCCAGCCTGGTGACAGAGCAAGACTCCATCTCAAAAAAAAAAAAAAATTTTTTTTGATACATTTAAAGGGTTAGAACAGGGCCTGTCACTTATTTACTGTTTGCTTTTATGGTGCTTGGTGAGTGCTCTGGTGTGGAAATACCTAATGTCAGTGGCTCTGCTATTCCTGTCCCATGTGCCCTAGGCTCCCCTGAAGATGGGCCTCGAGTGGTCTTCATCGTGGACCTCTGGCACCCCAACGTGGCAGGGGCTGAGCGCCAGGCCCTCGACTTTGTCTTCGCACCAGACCCCTGAAGGAAGGTGCTCCCTTCACACACCTGGGCTGGAGAGACACTGCGCTCAGGGACGGCCTGATGGTAGCCAGGACCTCCTCTCTACTGCGGGGGGTGGGTGGGTGCGGAGGGTGGGAACTGGCTAGTGAGCACTGAAATATAAATTCTGAATCCTCTCCTAACTCCTGACTACTTCCTTCCCAGGGAGAGGCTGGGGCAGGGCCTTATGTCTTCTCCTGGTACAATCAGATACCTCCTCTTTTTTTTTTTTTTTTTTTTTGTAGAGTCACGGTCTTGCTTTGTTGCCCGGGCTGATCTTGAACTCCTGGGCTCAAGTGATCCTTCTGCCTCAACCTCCACAGTCGTTGGGATTACAGGTGGGAGCCACCATGCCCGGCTAGATACCTCCTAACACAGGCATCTCCTCATCCCTCTCCCCAGGAGCCAGCACCAGTTCCTCAACTCATTTCAATAATTTAATAGAAAATTAAAATAATAAATAATATGAAACGGACTGAGAACGCTGAGCTGGGCAGGCCCAGGCCAGTCTAGTACAAAGTTAAGGAGGTAGGGAGGATGGTGGGGAGGAGGGTGCGGACTACCCTGCACGATGTGGGAGGCGGCTCAGACTGCGGTGATGTTAGGAAGGGCCGCACACTTTGGCATGGACGATGCACTGAAAAAAGAGAAAGGGAATTCTAAATCCCTCTTAACCAGCTGGAGAGGGAAGGACGCAGGGCCAGGATAGGGACAAGTGTTGGCCTCGGAAGGCTCTGAGTGGCGGGGCCGGAATGTACCATGTTGTTAGCAATGGGGTCGGGATGGATGGAGAAGGGCCAAAGTGAGCTGTGCCATGCAATGAAGGGACAGAGGAGGACCCACGACTTGGCCAGCAGAGCCGGGGCAAAGGTCTGGGAAGGGGAGGGAAAGAGAGAGGGACTGGGCCCCAAGGCAAGAGGAAGGCAGGGGGAGGGTCAGAGGTCAGTCCTTGAAGACAATTTGTTGGCCATGAGGACGCTCATCGTGAGTGATGTGCCGCCGGACATGGATCCTCCGGACACGGTGCTCTCGGTTCTCTTCATCCTCCCCGCGGCCAGCCCCACCAGCTCCAGCTGCTCCCCCTGTGGCCTCCAGGAGGGCTGGGTCTGGGCCCCGGGGAGTCTCGTAGATCAGGATGTTCAGGGTCTCCTCAAAGATCCGGGCTTCTGGAAATTCCACCTGCAAAAGGCCAGCCAGCCCCAGCTCCTTCCTTCTGGTGCAGTCACACAGGGCCATCCCCCTGCCCAGGGCCCCTGCATCGACACACCTCCTAGCCCTGCAGTCAGGTCCTTGGGCCTGGCCTGGCCTCTCTGCCACTCCTTTACTCAGCAAAGTCATACTTCAAGGCTCAGCTCTGAAGTCAGGCAGGCAGAATCATTTGTTTTCTCTCCTTCATCTCCTTCCCTGTCTAGTCTCTTGGTATATTTTTTCATTTGACAAATACTGAGTGAGTGCACTGCACCAGGTATTGTTCTAGGCACTACAGAAATAGCAGTGAACAAAACAAGGGTCCTGTCCTCAGGAAGTTACATTCTAGTGGGAGGACTCAGTCATACACTTAAGAAAATATGAACTAGCCTGGCCTGGTGGCTCACACCTGTAATCCCAGCACTTTGGGAGGCCAAGATGGGAGGACAGCTTGAGGCCAGGAGTATGAGTCCAGTCTGGGCAACATGGCATAACCCCATCTCTACAAAAAAATTAGCTCGGTGTGGTGGCCCACACCTATGTTCCCACTGCTGAGGTGGGAGGATCACTTGAGCATGGGAGGCAGAGGTTGCAGTGAGCCGAGATTGCACCACGGCACTCCAACCTGGGTGACAGTGAGACCCCATCTCAAAAAAATAAATAAATAAAATAAAATATAAATGAAGTCAAATGATGATGTTTAGGAAAAGAAATAGGCTGGGTGTGGTATCTCCTGACTGTAAGCCCAGCACTTCGGGGGCCTAAGGCAGGAGCATCCTTAGAGCCCAGGCGTTCAAGTTCAAAGCCAGCCTGGGCAATGTAGCAAGACCTCATCGATTATAAAAAACAAAAAACAAAAAGAGAGAGACAGAGAGAGATACATTAGGAAAAGGGGATATGATGGCTAGAGACAGGAGTATTACAACTTTAAGAGGGACTCCAGGGAAGGCCTCGCTGAGAAGGTGGTATCTGACCAAAGGAGTTGGGGAGGGGACTAGGCACACAGACCAGAAAGAGCAGCCTGGGGAGGGCCAGGGCCAGCGTGAGAGCTGTGGATCAGGAGTGCACCCAGTGTCTTACTGGAAGATCAAAAGGGAGGCCAATGCAATTGAGGCAGAGATGAGAGGGAGTGGAAAGAGATGAAGTCGAACAGGTGACTGGGGTGTTCCCTTGTGTGGCCTTGGAAGCATCTAACACAGCTCTTAGCAAACTGGTTTTTTAAATTTTATTTTTATTTTTTCCTGAGACAGAGTCTTGCTCTGTCACCCAGGCTGGAGTGCAATGGCGCCATCTCGGCTCACTGCAACCTCCACTTCCCAAGTTCAAGCGATGCTCCTGCTTCAGCCTCCCGAGTAGCTGGGATTACAGGCATGTGCCACTATGCTCAGCTAATTTTTGGATTTTTAGTAGAAAAAGGGTTTCACCATGTTGTACAGGCTGGTCTCAATCTCCTGACCTTGTGATCTGCCCACCTCAGCCTCCCAAAGTGCTGGGATTACAGGCGTGAGCCACCACGCCCGGCTTTTTTTTTTTTTAATCGTTCATTTGTTTCTGAGACAAGATCTTACTCTGTTGCCTAGGCTGGAGTGCAGTGGTGTGATCATGGATCCCTGCAGCCTCGACCTCCTGGGCTCAAGTGATCCCCCCACCTCAGCTTCCTGAGTACTTGGGTGTGCCACTATGCCTGGTTACTTTTTTTTAAATTTTTTGTAGAGATGGGGTCTTGCTGTGTTGCTCAAACTCCTGGCCTTATGTGGTCCCCTGCCTCAGCCTCCCAAAATGTTGGGATTACAGGTGTGAGCCATGCACTCTAATTATTGGTTTATCTTCCTATCTTCCCAATTACAGAGGATGTTTCTTGGAAGCTAGGTCACTGATTCATTCATTCATTCAATAAATGTTTCCTAGCTTCCAATGTGTGAAAAGTGCCTGGCTAATGGGAGATAGGAAAGAAAAAGACATGGCCCTGCCTTCAAGAAACTAACAGGCCGCTGCTGATGCAAACCCCCTCCCCTCCTCCACACATGATAAAACACTGTCTTTAGCTATGAAGGGAGTGTGACCAACTTTGGGGTTGTTGGATTGAAAGTTCATGAGTGAAGGTGACCCAAAGAAAGTGATACTTAGCTTAAGTCTTAAGATTAAGTGCAAGTTCATTAGGCAGATAGAAGGAAAGAATTCCAAGAGGCAACGGTGTGTGCAGAGGTAAGAGGTGTGAAATAGCACTGAGTGCTTAGAGACGTGCTATGACTGCGGTGTACCTGAGGTATGTGGCTCATGGTAAGCTCAGAAGGGACCAGATCAGGAAGGGCATGAGGCAGGGCTTGTACTTTGCTCAGCACTTCATTCCCCTTGATTTCCAGCCTGGTACAGTACTTAGCACAGAGCAGGGGCTTGGGGAATATCTGCTGATGATTGCTACATTAATGACTCAGGATCTACAAACTCAGAGGATGTTCTAAGAGACGTCTGGTCCTGAGGTTTTAAGAATCTATTTTTGGCAATGGGCCTTTCTGAGTTTCCTTTTTTTTTTTTTTTTTTTTTTATTAGAGTCGGGGCCTCACTCAGTCTCCTAGGATGGAGTGCAGTGGCATGATCATAGCTCCCTGCTGCCTCAAATTCCTGGGCTAGGCCAGGCCCGGTGGCTCATGCCTGTAAATAATCCCAGCACTTTGGGAGGGCGAGGAGGGTGGATCACTTGAGGTCAGGGGTTCAATACCAGCCTGACCAACATGGTGGAGTCTCTACTAAACAGACTTCTCTACTACATTTAGTCTCTACTAAAAATACAAAAATTAGCTGGGCATGGAGGTGGGCGCCTGTAGTCCCAGCTACTTGGGAGGCTGAGGTAGGAGAATCACTTGAATCCGGGAGGCAGAGGTTAAGTGAGCTGAGATCACGCCATTGCACTGCAGCCTGGGCAACAGAGTGAGACTCTGTCTCAAAAAAGAGAAAAAGGCAGTGGCTCATGCTTGTAATCCCAGCACTTTGGGAGGCTGAGGTGGATGGATCACGAGGTCAAGAGACTGAGACCATCCTGGCCAACATGGTGAAACCCTGTCTCTACTAAAAATACAAAAATTAGCTGGGCGTGGTGGCGCGTGCCTGTAGTCCTAGCTACTGGGGAGGCTGAGGCAGGAGAACCGCTTGAACCTGGGAGGTGGAGGTTGCAGTGAGCGGAGATCGTGCCACTGCACTCCAGCCTGGTGATAGAGTGAGACTCAGTCTCAAAAAACCATCATCATAATAATAATAAATAAAAAAATTCCCAGGCTCAAGCAATCCTCCTGCCTCAGCCTCCTGAGTAGCTGGGATTACAGGTGCATGTCATCATGCCACCACACCACCATACCTGGCTAAATTTTTTGAGTTCTTACAGAGATCAGATCCCACTATGTTGCCCAGGCTGGTCTCAAACTTCTGGGCTCAAGTGATCCTCCTGCCTTGGCCTCCCAGAGTCCTGGGATTACAGGCATAAGCCACTCTGCCTGGCCCCTTCTGAGTTTCTAATGACAACTATGGACCTCCTATGCAGAAACACGCATACGTCCCCATTTCAGGAGTTGCAAACAGCCTTGAAACACATTCAACAGGCCTAGGCTAAACACCCTGCTCTAACCCATGACCCCCATTTCACAGAGAAACAGAGACCCACAGGGATAGGGTGGCCTGCCCACTGCTGCGCACCCCAGACCCCAGGATCTGGCTCCTGCCTCCCGGGGGTGGGCTCTTGCCCCTGCCAACCTGTTTTTGTCCAGGGTCCTGGTCGTGGCCACCCCCAGCCCCCCACGTAGGCTCTGGAACCCCTCTGACCTTGGTCTGCTTCTTCTCCGTAGCATAGACAATGGAGGTACAGCACACCTCGGCGATTTTGCGGCCCTGCCCGTAGAAAGACCAGCAGCAGATCTCGTCCCCCAGGACATCCTTGAGGAAGAGCAGCCGCCCGTGGAAGCGCAGGGCCAGCTTGTCAAACAGCTCGATGTTCTTAAGTAGGTTGTCATCTGAAGTGCTGGGGACCAGGGGACCAGGAGGCCTCAGCGTTGGCACCCCTTCCTCTATAACCCCAGGACAGGGGCCTGGATGCATTCCTAGTCCTCTGCTCCTGCCCAGGGTTTGGTGCTCAACAGGAAGCCTCCTCTTCCCCTGGGGCCAGGCTAAACAGGCCTCAGAAGAGAAGCCACATGCACTGAGCAAATCCCAGCATAGCAGAGCAGCTCCCGTGCGGGACCTGGAGCCAGGCTGCCTCCCTGGGGGTCCTGGCACCCCACTTTTTAACTGGGTGACACTAGGCAAGTTACTTCACCTCTTGGTGCCTCAACCTCCTCATCTGTAAAATGGAGCTCACAACAGTACTGACCTCAAGGGGGAGGACTCTGCCAGTTCCTAGAGAGAAAGCATTTGGGACAGGCTCACCATTATCACTTCATCCTCACCCAAACCCATTTACTGATGACTAAGCTGAAGCTGAGAAGCGGAAAGGACCTGCCCAGAGTGCCAGGGGTAAGAGGCAAAGCTAAATCTGTGAGCAGGCAGGCAGATGTTCTTGTAGGCCCTCTGTGTGGCCGTGGCCCTCGCCTTGGGCAGGAGCAGGGCTGTGCTGCATCCCAGGGTCCCGCCCAGTGCCCCGCACCCTGGTGGTCACCTGGTGTAGGAGTACTTGTTGTTACTGCGGTTGTGCAGGAGCTTCACCACGGGCTAGCAGGGGAGAGAGGATGGAGGAGAGGAGTGAGGCTGCAGGGAGAGGCCCCCGCAGTGAGCCTCCACCCTGCAGGGCTTGGGGGCCTCACCTTGGAGGTGCTGGCCAGGAGCTGCTGCTCCTCCCGGGGAGATGTCACCGTGGGGATGAGGCACAGCGGGGACAGCGTCTCCCTTTTTTGCTGGGGAAGAAGCGGAAGGTGGTTAACAGCACAACCAAAGGCCACATACTCCCTCACTTAAAAGCCTTCAAAAGCTGGTTGGGAACATCTCCAGACTCCTCAGTGGTCCGCAGGGCTCTGCAGGCTCCAAGCTCCGCTGACCTCTCTGCCACGCTCCCTTGGCTTGCTGGGCCTTGGTCCCATGGACATCTTGCTGCTTTACACATCCAGCTCGTGCCCACCCCGGCCATTGGCTGTGCCCCTGCCCGGGATGCTTCTTTGCTCAGCTGTCAGCATGGCAGCTCTGTCATGCCATTCAGATCGCAGCTCACACAGTGCCTCCTCAGGGCCAGCCCTCCCCAGGCCCACTGGCTAAACAGCCTCCTCTATATCCTGCCTTTTGTGTTATCAGTTCATTTTCTTTTCTTTTCTTTTCTTTTTTGAAACAGAGTTTCACTCTTGTTGCCCAGGCTGGAGTGCAATGGCGCGCGATCTCGGCTCACTGCAACCTCTACCTCCCGGGTTCAAGCAATTCTCCTGCCTCAGCCTCCCGAGTAGCTGGGATTACAAGCATGTGCCACCATGCCCAGTTGATTTTGTATTTTTAGTAGAGATGGGGTTTTTTCCATGTTGATCAGGCTGGTCTCCAACTCCTGACCTCAGGTGATCCCCCCGCCTCCGTCTCCCAAAGTGCTAGGAATACAGGCATGAGCCACTACGCCTCGCCTATCAGTTCATTTTCTGTATGGCACTTAGTGCCGCCTTCTAATTTTTTGTATTTGATTATGATCTGTCTCTTCCCACCTAGGAATAACTACTTAGTATACAACTGATGCTCTGTGAGTATTTGTTGAACAAATGAACGTATTTGTTGAGTGAATGAACTTCATTGGCTGGGATGACGTTGGAGAAAGAAATCAGAAGCAAATGCATGAGCTTCTTTCTCTTCTGTCTTCTAGAACCTTCATGCCAAAATCCCTCTCACTTCTCCCAACCTTGAAAACCCAATGTGCAATTCTAATACAAATTCCAGATTTGTTTTTTGTAGAAACTCATAAGACTCTCTAAAATTCATATAGAAGAATAAAGGTCTACAATTACTTAGGTCTTTTTTTTTCCTTCTTTTTTTTTTTTTTTTTTTTTTTTTTGGAGACAGGGTCTTGCTGTCACCCAGACTGAGTGCAGTGGCGTGATCACAGCTCACAGCAGCTTTGACCTCCTGGGCTCAAGCCATCCTCCCATACTTAGGTCAGTTTTTAAAAAGAAGAGCAAAGAAAGGCAGACCCTGCCAGACATGAAGATAGGCTTCAAAGCCACAACAGTGAAAACGGTGTTAGTTCGGGCACAAAAACAAAAACACCCGAGAAACACAAGAGAGATCAGAAACATACCACTGTGTATATGAGAACTGGTATTTTTAAAGACACCACAAATGTACGAGGGGAATTATGGAGTATGAATTCGTTATCTATCACTGTGTAATGAACTGCCCCCAATTTAGGAGGTTAAATTAACAATATTTATTACTTCCGTTTCTGAGGGTCAGGAACTCAGCAGTGGCTCAGCTGGGTGGCTCTGGCACAGGGTCTCTTGTGAGGCTGTGGCCAAGATGTCAGTGGGGCTGTGGGCATCTGAAGGCATGATGGCCCCTAGAGGATGCATTCTGAGAAAGCTTGTTCATGTGGCTGGCAAGTTTGCACTAGCTGCTGGCAGGAAACAGCAAATCCCTGCCATGTGGATCTCTCCACAGGGTTGCTTGAGTGTCCTCACAGCATGGCAGCTGGCTTCCCAGAGCAAATAATTCCAGAGAGGAGAAGGTAGAAGCCTCGTTATCTTTTTTATTTTTGAGATAGAATCTCACTGTGTCACCCAGGCTGGAGTGCAGTAGCATGATCTCGGCTCACTGCAACCTCCACCTCCCAGGTTCAAGCGATTCTCCTGCCTCAACCACCCAAGTAGCTAGGATTACAGATGTGTGCCATCATGCCCAGATAATTTTTGTATTTTTAATAGAGATAGGGTTTCACCATGTCGGTCAGGTTGGTCTCAAACTCCCGACCTCAGGTGATCCACTCGCCTCGGCCTCCCAAAGTGCTGGGATTACAGACGTGAGCCATGGTGCCCGGCCCCTCCATTGTCTTTTACAGCCTAGGTCTGTTGGTCCTATCCAGTGTGGAAGGAGATAACACACGGGAACGAGCACCAGGGGACGAGAATCATCAGGCTGCCTTGGCGGCTGGCTCCACAGGCCATCACTGGCCCTTAGTGATTTCCTCCCTCCCACATGCCAAATATACTCACCACCTCCCAGGATGCCCCATCATCCCATTACAGCATCAGCTCAAAGTATAGAATCTCGTCATCTCCATCAGGTCCAGGTGGGGATGTGGCTCTAGCATGCAGTTCCTTAACTATGGCTCCTTAAGTGCATTTCTTTTTTTTTTTCAAAATGGAGTCTTGCTCTGTCTCCCAGGCTGGAGTGCAGTGGCACCATCTCACCTCACTGAAAAATCTGCCTCCCAGGTTCAAGTGATTCTCCTGCCTCAGCCTCCCAAGTGGCTGGGACTACACGCATGCACCACTGCCCCAGCTAATTTTTGTATTTTTAGTAAAGACGGGATTTCACCATGTTGGCCAGGGTGGTCTTGAACTCCTGACCTCAAGTGATCCAACTGCCTTGGCCTCCCAAACTGCTGGGACTACAGGCGTGAGCCACCGCATCCAGCCCTTAAGTACATTTCCTATTTGCAGACCTGTGAACTAAAGAGACAGGTCATTTCCTCCACACTCCCAGTGTGCGGTGGTAGAGGCAGGCACAGGATAACCAGTAACGACACTCTTGCTCAAAAGCAGGGGAAGCTGGGTGTGGTAGCATGTGCCCGTCATCCCAACTACTTGGGAGGCCAAGGTGGGAGAATTACTTGAGCCCAGGAGTTCGAGACCAGCCTGGACAACATAGCAAGACTCTATCTCAAAAAAAAAGGGCACGGGACAGCAGGCACATATAAGTCACTAGTCTGTAGAAATTCTGAAATCCAGTTGGAGAAATGCTAGGAACTCTTTGATGCCTACTCCTGTTCAGGAATGATTCTCCATGGCTCTCCCTGAGTCATCCCACCTCTTCCATAAAAGATGTTTGCAGCTTCACAGTTTCATCTGCCTGCTTCCTGCCTGTAGAATTTTGGGTGTGCAAAGGCCTCTTGTCCTTTTGCACTGGCTCTGTCCCTTTCGGTCCAAGCTGGCAGTGTTTCTGCCAATATAATTCTCTGCATAACTTACTGGGTATCTTGCACGTCTTAGGGTTCACTACATTAGAAAAAAGCCACACCCAGAAATATCTGCAAGTGGCCAGGCACAGTGGCTCACGCCTGTAATCCCAGCACTTTGGGAGGCCGAGGCGGGTGGATCACTTGAGGTCAGGAGTTCGAGTGGTCTGACCAACATGGTGAAACCCCATCTCTACTAAAAATACAAAAATTAGCGGGGCGTGGTGGTGGGCACCTGTAATCCCAGCTACTCGGGAGGCTGAGACAGGAGAATCGCTTGAACCCAGGAAGTGGAGGTTGCAGGGAGCTATCTCAAAAAAAAAAAAAAAAAAAATCTCTGCAGGATAAGCCCTTCTCTACTTTGGGGTTGTGCTAAGATGCTGAGAGACAACACCTTTAACCTTCTCAGAAGCACGATTATTATTTGATTCGACTGGAAGATCCCTCTGAAGCATGTTATTGGTATTTCTGAGGTCTTAACAAAGGACTTTTTCATCACATCCTCAGCTTCACCTTTAGACCACATTTTCCTATATTTAATGCCTTGTATTTAATCTTTGCATGGAAGCCATTTGATTTTAACATCACTTGTTATCTGGAAAGGCTGGGGATTTTCAAACCCAACAATTTCAGGCTCCTTTTCATTCAAGTGGTTTTTTCTTTAATGTACTCTCTCCTCTTCAATTTTACTATAAGCAGCAAGATGCCAGGTGGCACCTTCAACATTCTGTCTGGAAAGCTCCTTAGCTAGACCATCTGTTCATTAGGTATGTTTCCTACCCTCCACACTAATGCAGGAGACAGCGTTGCTAAACTTTCTGCCGCTACACAAGGATGTCCTTTCCATCTGTTTTCCTTTCTTTTAAGCCCTTATTGCAGCTTTCTTAAAGGTCACTGGACTCTTATCAACAGATTTTCTTACCTTTTTTCTTTTAATTTTTTTAGAGACAAGGTCTCACTATATTGCCCAGGCTGGTCTCGAACTCCTGAATTCAAGTGATCCTCCCACCTCGGCCTCCAAAAGTTATGGTATTACAAGCGTGGGCCACTGTGCCCAGCCAACACTTTTTAACACTCCTTAAGCTTTTACTAACAATCTCCTCAAAGTCCTTCCAGCTTCTTCCCACTTCTCAGTTGTAAAGTTACTTCTACATTTGAGGTTTCTGTTATGGCAGACCCCCATTCCAGAAACCGAAGTCTGTTCTCTGTTGCTGGGTAACAAATTACTACAAACTTAGCAGCTTAAAACATAGTTCAGGTGTGGTGGCTCATGCCTGTAATCTCACCATTTGGGGAGGCCAAGGCTGGAGGACTGTTGGAGGTCAGGAGTTCGAGACCAGCCTGGCTGACATAACAAGACTCTGTCTCTATTTAAAGATAAATAAATAAAAATAAACATTATCTCACATAGTTTCTGTGGGTCAGGAATTTGGGATGGGCTTAGCTGGGTGGCCCTGGCCCAGAGTCTGTCACGAAGCTGCAGTCTCGATTTTGGCTAGGGCTGCAGTCATTGGAAGGTTTGCCTGGGCCTAGAAGCTCTGCTTCTGAGACAGGTCACCAGTATGGCGGGGAGTCTGTGCTCGCTGTTGGCAGGGGCTTCAGTTCCTCACCAAGTGGAGACCTCTGCTTAGGGGTGCCTGAGTGTCCTCACACAGCACTTTTCAGAGTGAGTGACCCCAAAGAGAGGCAGAAGCTGGAATGTCTTTTATGACCTAGCTTCAAAGTCACATGCTGTCATTTCTGCAATGTCCTATT